AAAGGCAGTCTTTAAAACCCTCTGAACTAGACAAAATTACATTCCCATTAACTAAAGCCATATTCCTAGCCTTCTTGTAATCTTTTACCAAAATCATTCCCTGCATACCTTGTATGTAAAACCATTTCTCCAGTGGTCTCAATGACATGTTACAACGTTAACTCTTAGCAACTTTTATTTTTAGTGAAAAACCTGATAAGTAAGAAATTTTAATTATGCACTAGGGGTGGAGCCTAGGATATTAGACAGAAATGAAGATAAAGTCTGACCCTTTTTAGCATAGCTCCTAGGCATAGCTCTCCATATGCCCCAGGCCTTAGCATATAATCTAATGCTCCAAAGTAAGTAAATCAAATTTCAAAAGTCAAATAAACAATTTAACCCAAAAGCATTTAGCAAATCTGATATCTGACCTTAATTTAGACCAAATGTTTACATTTTCAAGATAATTTATTTTACCAAGAATCTTTAAAACTATCTTTATTTCCAAAAGATTACTAAAGCCACATGAAAAAAAAGACATTAAAGTTTCTATTTTTCTAACAAAATATTTGATTTAAGCATTTATTTTTCTAAGCCAATTAATCAGAGCTCTTTTATATATAAACATCACACACACACACACACACAACACGCGTAAATACAGACTGACAGAAGATTCAGCACTTCTAAGATTTTTGATTTGCCAGTTTCTTGATTGGATGACTGGCTTCGGGGTGGAGCCCTTGGAGGAAGAGGGCCAAGAAAGCATGCATTTCTAGGGCCAAATAAGCAGCTGAAGGCAAAGACGGATCTCCAAAATTGAAGGTGCTATTTCATACTGGTTCCTGGATCCCCAAAAGGAGGGAACTACCACGGGAGAAGACAGTGCAGTGCTTTTAACTGACTGTACATTTCATTGCAAGACAACCCAAAGCCAATCAGCCCAACCTCATGGGAGTCTCATCTCCCATTGGGGGTTGGGGATGTTTTCTTATCTTCCAGGTGGCCAAGAGCTTGCTTCTCTGATCCAAGTGTGCAAAGAGTCAAGGACTCCTCCATAACTAGTGTTAGCCATCCCTTAAAGTACTTTTCCTGCCTAGTTATTACACACGAAAGCTCTCTCATAATGCAAAGTAATTGCTGATACCTTCAAAACAAAAACTGTCAGATAACACAATGCAAAACAGAACAGAGACTTTGATTTTGAGAAATCAAATTCCTTTTCATTCCTGGGATTTCAGGAGGAAAACAGTGGGATGGTTTTTTTTTTCCCAAAACATGGTCTCTGGCGCCTCCTCTGTTTTTCCCAGTGAGTCCCAGGCTATCAGAAGTTACCTTACTTAGGGCCTCTGTGTGCATTAAGGATGACAAGACAAAAAAAGAAAAAGGAGAAAAATAATTCAGCCAACTGACAAGAAAAAACCTTTTCTCAGAAAAACAAGTCCCAAAAAGAGAAAAACATAAAGGCCTTTTAAATATACCTATAGCTTGTTTATCCACTTTTAATTAAGCTGACGTTTAACCATAGTACTCTTTAAAAAATAAATCCTTGCTTCAGCCATGCCAAGCAGCCATTATTTCTAGTTTCTGAATTTTACCAAAAGTAACCTCCTAGGTGCTTCAAGGACGTGATAAGCAGTTTCTTTTTTACAAGATTTACAGTCTCCGCAAAGGTAGTTCAGAGAAAGGAAAATTCAAGAGGGGAAATCGGAAGCTATCCATTGTGGCGGGGTGGGGATGGGGGTGTGGGGGTGGGGGACCTCAATAAATGGCAAAGTTACCCAAATAACAAACTAGAAAGGAATTATTCCAGAAGCCAGCAATTGAACCCAGGCTACCACCATCAAAAGATGAAGCCTTCGCTACTGAGCTATACAGCACTGAGCAGTTTCTACTGCTTTTTCCAGAAGGAGCCTAGAGAAGCCAATTTCAAGCTTACGAGGCTTTTAACTGCTCAAGAAAAAATTTTAGGAAAAACTGACATGAACTCCTAAATTCCTGTCCTCTGGATGGTAGAAACATGGTCGCAAGGTTAAGGTCCTAAGGACACAAAACAAGATACAGAAATTTCATACAGTATTGACTACCATATACCAAGTAGGAAAAATAAGTTACAGGATAGTAGATCTCATTTTTAAAAAATAAAAGAGCTCCTGAAATGCCAAACTCTACATGTCTATGTCCATAGCTGTATCTTCCTCTAATTTATATTTTTATGAGTCATAGGCATAGAAAAAATCTAAGGAAAGCGGATACACAGCAAATTACTAATAGTTCATCTCTGGTAGTGACATTGGGTAGAAAGGAGTTAGATTGTTACTTTTCACTTAATATTGTTCTGTGTTTCAATTTGTCATAAAAATTTTCCATAGCATGCATTTAAGTTTTTTTTAATTTTTTATTTTTTCTTTCTTTGCAGGTGCTTTGAGACTAATATATTAGAGAAATTTTTGTTATTATTTTTAAATTTTATTCACAAGTGCTAACTGCCAATAAGCATTTTTTGTTTTTGTAATTCACAAATTGATAAATATTTTTAAATGAAAATATAAAATAGTTTCAGCTAGGTGCAGTTGAGCATGCCTGTAGTCCTAGCCACTCAGGAGAGATGTGACTTAACTGACTCCATGTTGCTCCTAATCTCCAAGCTGTCCTTGTTCATTCCTGGGTGTAGGCTGAACTAACTTTGGGAGAAACTTAAACAAAGATGTTAACAGCCCTTTCCCAAAGCAGACTTCCCTCCTGCCTGAGAACTAGATTGCCTTTGTAGGAATAACATTAGCCACAAGATAGTTTAGGAGTCATGCAGCTGGAGGTTCTGACCCTCCCCCAGCTGCTCCGAGATGAGTACTTGATATAGTTTCCAGACCCTGCACTTGATGGAGATCAGGGTTCATCTGGTGCCCTGCCCATAACTGTGTTCAGTTTCAGGTCTATTAAGTGCCAGGAATTTAAATGCCGCTTTTTTCTGATACAGCTTTAATTTTTTTATTTATCAAAACCCTGAAACAAAGTGTTTTTAAAATCATCTAATTTTACAAAGTAGTCCCCAAAAGTTTCTTCGCTGCTTCTTCTTCTCTAGACTTGATGCCTTGGGAATTTTCCTTTGTATCTCCAAAGCACACACTTGTATTGCTGCTTCTTGACTTTTACTTAGGGGCATTATCTGTTAACTTCCCACTATGGAAGATGAGAATTTAGTTCTGTTTTCTCCTCCTCCTGCACCACACACATGCACCCTCTACCCCTACCCTATTCTTTCCAATATAGTTTTATGGTTAATTCCATATTCAGTGTTTACATTATGATACCTATATTTGTTTTATTCAGCTTCAGAGCTGAGTCATGTAGTAAATATGATTGCTTTTCCTGCTCAGTTGTGTTTTTCCTGGTATTAGTCATTACTGGTTTTTTGTTAGTATTTTCCCTCCATTTACTTATGAGTCCTTTAACCCCAAATTATTTGCCAGGTTTTTTTGTTTGTTTGTTTGTTTTTATTTTTAAAGATGGGGTTTCACCATATTGGTCAGGCTGGTCTCGAACTGACCTTAGGTGATCCGCCCGCCTCAGTCTCCCAAAGTGCTGGGATTACAGGTGTGAGCCCCTGCGCCCGGCTATTTGCCAGTTTTCTAAATCTCTTCCCAACACCTTCAACACATAGATGTTTTATCATTTTGATCTTTGTAATGAAATCGCTTCCTGTCCTATTACCCTTTGGCTAGCTGCCTTTATGCCTAGTGCTTAGCTCTCATCCTGGGATCTCCCTTCACCACGACCCTGGAGATTCCATTAGCTTCTATGCTGTGTTAGACTTCTGCTGCTTATATCCCATGTCTTCCTCCTTTTGGTTTACACCGCATTTGGTGGAGCACATGCTCTGGTAACTTACTGTGACAGAGGAGGTCCAGGAGAAAACAGTTTTGAAATTCTACTTCCTAAAGCTGTTTTACTCTTATACTTGATAGTTTGGTTGGACATCTCCTTACATTTTCAGAAATGTAAAGTATAGAAAAATATTTTCTGTCGTAAAAAGAGACAACAGTTGTATGAAAAAGTGAGGTAACATTTTCCTAAATGTATCCATCCAGACTCTGAATCTGAAATATCAGTGCCTTCAGCTTCTCTTCAAGATGTGGCAAGTCTTAACTCTAAATAGGTGAATTTTATGTTTTTATTTCTTTTTGGTTTTCAAACAGGGATCTATTTGTGATGACTATTTGGCAACCCTTTGCTGTCCTCATTGTTCTCTTTGCCAAATCAAGAGAGATATCAACAGGAGGAGAGCCATGCATGCTTTCTAGCTTTCTAAACACTGATGGTGAGTCAATGCAATCATTCCTCTCGGAATATGTGGATTTTTAGAAATATAACTGAAGACTTTGTAAATTATTCATTGTTTTGAATAATTCAGCAGGAACAATTTCTTAAGTTCCTGAAGTGCTATCATAATGTAAAGATTGGCTTTGATTTCTTCTTATGAAGAAGATAGCTCTATACTTTGAAACCGTATTTTAGTAAATAAAGGAATGGTGAATTTTCTAAACTTCTCAGAATTCTGGTGATCTATTAAGTAAGGAAGAACTTATACTTCTAAAATACTAGAGTATGGTGAGATACAAAAGACATGTTTCCTGCTAAGACAAACAAGTTAACAAAAGGAACTGGTAAATATAAAACAGGAGAGCAATGAATATAACATATTATATGATATTTGGATTGATTGTGGCATAAAGCATCTGTCGTAGAAAGGTGAGGTTAAATAGAAAACTTCTATTGGAAAAGGTGAACTATGAAAGAGGTGAACATAGAATTTAGGATATTTGGAAATGTTATATAGAATTCACCATCTGAAATTCAGTAAAGTCATTCTCAACTAATTTTTCTCAGGACTGTCTATTGACGATGTAAAGTAGAAATCAACATAATTTAGTCAGTCCCCTGTAGAATATATCTTGAGTATGGGAAGAAAACAGTTTTTCTATTCTTTGCAATACCAATTTCCTTCCTGAAGTGATGAGGACTCTGTATAGGTTAGTAAAAATAATTCTTGGAAGATATGTTAAAAAATGTTCATTTACTTAGTAATGTGTCAAGGATCTAGGATCAAGTATACATTATCTTAGCGAGTAATATTTCACTGTATCAATATCTAGGACTATGTAAGATACTGATATGGTATTGTGTTGAGGGGTGGGCAAGATGAATAAGCTAGTCCCTCTGTCATTACAGACTTTATGCTAAAAAAAATGGGGATTAGACAAACCCCTAACTAAAATGCAGAATTGAATTAATGCCTATAGACAAAGTGTTATTTTACATTCAGAGGAGGAAAAGATCATATCTTGTAAGATGTGTGAGTGACAGTTTCTTGAAAGAAGTAATTTTTAATTTAAAGAGGAAGTGTGTATTAGTTCACAACCAGAAACAGGTGGCACTCAAACTGTGCTAGTTCAAGGATTTAATGAAGACTAATTACAAAGGTGTGGGTGAGGCATTATAGGTAATTGACAAGGGATGGTGTAATAACCTGCCTGACAATGGCCCCAGGGAGGAGAAGAGGGATCAGTTACCTGAATCCTTAAGGAGAGAGCTGTGTGAAGAAGCCTGCCCTGAAAGAAACAGTATCCTCTCCAGAGAGGGTTGTGAGCAGCCCGAGGCAATCCACATAACTGAAAAAGTACCCTGACCTCACTTTCAGATATCCTTCTGGGCTTCCCACTGGCGGAACCCAGCAGAAAGGCAAAGGGCAGCAAAGTGTCACTGTAGTCCACAGGTTACCTCCCAGGGCACACAGCAGGATGGTCAAGGGAATAAGTGAATCAGGTGGGGCAAACAGAGGATCACTGACACGAGATGTTGTTTTAATTAATAGAAATGGAGGCTGGGTTCGGTGGCTCACACCTGTGATCTCAGCACTTTGGGAGGCCAAAGCAAGAGGATTGCTTGAACCCAGGAGTTCAAGACCAGCCTGAGGAACATTTGAAACCCATCTCCTCAAAAAAATACAAAAATTAGCGAGATGCGGTGGTGCACACCTGTAGTCCCAGCTCCCTGGGAGGCTGAGGTGGGAGGATCGCTGGAGCCTGGGAGGTAGAGGCTGCAACGAGCTATGATCACACCACTGCACTCCCGCCTGGGCAACAGCAAGACCCTGTCTCAAAAAAA